CATCCACCTCGACACCTCGACACCTCGACACCTCGACACCTCGACACCTCGACACAGCAGCAGCAACAACCACAACAACAACAACAAAATGGGTATCAAGGGCCTCACTGCGCTTATCTCGGACGAGGCGCCTGGCGCGATCAGGGAGATGGAGATCAAGACGTACTTTGGGCGCAAGGTGGCCATCGACGCGTCCATGTCGCTGTACCAGTTCCTCATCGCGGTGCGTCAGAACGACGGCCAGCAGCTCATGACCGAGTCGGGCGAGACGACGTCGCATCTGCTCGGCTTCTTCTACCGCACGCTTCGCATGATCGACTACGGCATCAAGCCGATGTACGTCTTCGACGGCACGCCGCCGGACCTCAAGAAGGAGCTGCTCAAGAAGCGGTTCGGGCGGCGCGAGGAGGCGCGCGAGCAGGAGGAGGAGCAGAAGGACGTGGCGGACGTCGAAAAGATGGACCAGCTCGCGCGCAGGCAGGTGCGCCCCACACGGCAGCACAACGAGGAGGTGCGGCAGCTGCTCAAGCTCATGGGCATCCCCTGCGTCATTGCACCCTCCGAGGCAGAGGCGCAGTGTGCAGAGCTCGCGCGCGCCGGCAAGGTCTACGCCGCCGGCTCCGAGGACATGGACACGCTCACGTTCGGCACGCCCATCCTGCTCAAGCACCTCACCGCGTCCGAGCAGAAGAAGCTGCCCGTGCACCAGGTGGATCTGCCCAAGGCGCTCGAGGGGCTGCAGATGGACATGCCCCAGTTCATCGACCTCTGCATCCTGCTCGGCTGCGACTACCTCGACCCCATCAAGGGTATCGGGCCCAAGACCGCGCTCAAGCTCATCCGCGAACACAAGTCGCTCGAAAACGTCGTCGAGCATCTCAAGGAGGAAGCCAAAAAGTCGGTCCAGATCCCCGAGCATTGGCCGTTCCAGGAGGCGCGCAAGATCTTTGAGGCTCCAGACGTACAGAAGGGCAAGGACCTCGACCTCAAGTGGGAGGCGCCCGACGTAGAGGGCATGGTCAAGTTCCTCTGCCAAGACAAGGGCTTCTCCGAAGACAGGGTCCGAAAGGGCTGCGAGAAACTGCAAAAGTCGCTCAGCCAGAAACAACAGGGTCGTCTCGACGGCTTTTTCACGTGAGTTGCCACCCCCCACATTCCTCCATTTCCCAGCCAGAGATTTGCTGCTAACCCTTTGAATGCTTGTTGCATGCCACCGCAGCGTCAAGTCCGGCGCACCCGCACCAAAACGCAAGGCGGAAGACGACAAGAAGACCAAGAAGAAGGGCAAGAAGTGAACGTCGTCGCGCCACCATTTCACCACCACCTGCCTTGGACGCAATCATACCTCAGATTGCACTACACACGCTTTCATTGCATTTCCGTTCTGCGGCTAGGCCACGGTCAACTGGCCGGGCTGGGCCCTGGCGCTGACGCTGCCAGCGAGGCTGTCCTGCAGCACGTTGGTGGTGTTGGTGCGGGTGACCCGGTCGATGGTGCCACCTGCCATATCGCGGTACATGTACGTCTGCCTTGCCGTGCCAGTTCCGTTGGCAATGGCGCCGTTGACGAGCACCGAGTCGGCGTCTGCGTTGCGCTTGGACAGGATTGCGTGCGGTAGAGCCGCCACGGGGTCTGCATGAACCAACGTGGTCTCGTCGCCCACCATCTTCGTGAGGTCCTTGTCAGTGCCGGGTCCGGTGCGACGAACGGTGCGGTCGAACTGCTCGACGATGCGTGCGTCGAACGAAGTGTTGGACAGCGACGAGGTGACGTAGAGCGGGTAGTTGTAGTCCATCTGCACCGCGCTCACCTGCACCTTTGCGTCTTGCGCATCAGCTAGCGTCTGGATGGCGTCGAAATCGAGCGTCCCCATCACCTTGTCGATGTGTCTGGCGTCGATGACGAGCGACCGCGTCCAGCCAAAGCTCTTCTGGTCGTTGGTCTGCGTAGTCGCATTGACGAGGCCGCGATTGTCGTACTCGGCTTGCTGCGACCATGCGGCGACATATTCCTTGCCAGAGCCTGTCTTGACGCTTCCCGCCACGTCGAACCTCCTCGGCACCTGGAGCCCGACGCTGTACGTCAGACTGCCGTTCGTCAACGGATCGCCCTTGATACTCCCGCCCGTTGTGCCTTTGACCACCTCGGCCCCCTGCGTGGCTTTGATCACCTTGCCCGTCGTACGCCCATCGGAGCTGTCGAGGTACACCTGCACATTGCCCGAGACGAACCAGGATGCGTCGTTGATCACCCCGCCGCGCTCGCTGCCCACCACGGCGAGCTCGAAGCTGTGTGGCTGATCGTCGGTGAGCGTTCCGATGAACGGCGTGACGTCGATCGTATACGTCGGCTGGTCGAACGTGCCATAGTTGGCAGCGGGTCGCCAGAGCAACGGATTGATGCCGCCCGTAAAGATGACCGGATACGGCGTCACGAATCCCGCAAAGGCGCCGTCGATGTACAGCTGCACTTCGCGGTACGGGCCGTGGCCGTAGTAACCGTTGGCGGCTGCGTCGGGGATCTGATTGAAGAAGCGGTCGGTGATGCCAGTGTACCAGAACTCCTCGGCGGCGGTGCCGCTAGCGTAGACTTCGACCAGCGCTCGTGCGGCGTTGTGCGGAACCTTGACGGATGCAGTTCCGTTGCCGGCGGATCCGCCTAGCTGAAAGATCGAGTTGCCTGTTTGGAGGCGTTTCGACAAGGGGATGACGAGGTGCGCTGCGCGCTGTTTGAGCGGCAGAGCAGGGATTCGCCCTGCGTGTGTGCGCTTACGGCCTGCTCGGCTGAGGGATCCTTGCACCGAGGCGGTGAGTTGAAGCGTGACGTTGAGGGCGCCCGTGTAGGTGTCATCGACGATGTTGGGCAGGTCAAACACTACGTCCGCAGGCTGGCTCCAGAGCGGCCAGTACTTGCCGACGTCCTTTTTGGTGGACCAGTAGACGCCCTGTTTGGTGGGTTCGGGATTGTCGAGCCGCAACACCTCGACGCCCTGGCCGGTGGCGTTGTTGCCGACCCACACGGTGCCAAGCCTGTCGAACTGGCGACCGCGCGTCTCGCCGTGCACATCCAGCGTGAGCCCCGTCCATTCGTCGGGATCCGAACACGCTGTACCCGCGAAGGCGGTGCGCGGGTCAAAGGAGAGCGTAGAGGGCGAGCCGTAGCTGTTGGCAAACGATCGCGAGACCAGCGTGACGCTGCAGCTGTGCGCGGAGGATGTAAGCAGAGGCGCTGGCTCGTGCAGCTGGAAACTCTGCGTCAACGTCGACTCCTTTGCGCTAGAGGGGCCGTGGAAGGGTGCGCTCGATTTAAACAGAGGCGAACTCCAGATCTGAGGCACGGCCAATCCCTGCTCCGCCCGGTGCGGGATGTGCGAAGCAGTCGTGGCAGCTACAAGCGCCGAGATCAAGCTGTACTTTGCTGCGTGCATCGTGGGGATGCCGAGACGATGACCCAGCGCAGTGGGAGGTCAATCCTTATATGCTCGTGCGCCGCATGTGCTTCGTCGAGCCACGCTACGGCTCGATCCGCTCCGAAGCGCCGCTGCCACCTTATCGCCATGGCCGAGCGCGCGCTCTTAGCCAACCGGCCTGCTTGCCCGCCATGTTGTTTTCCAGAAATCCGTCAAAAGCTCGCTTAAGCTGCCGAGCCGATGATCGCCTCGGCGCACATTCAGGGTCCAACACCCGCGCTGCTGCATAGCCGGCGGAATGCCCCACACCTCCTACTGGCACACTCTTTCAAGTCGGGGGGACGCTGTTTGCATTGCTCACACACGCGATGCAACCCAGATGGCGCCTCGGCAGCCGGCGGCAATGACGGCCGAGAGCAACGCATGCCCTGCGGCCTGCTGCGACTCGTGCTCCACGGCAGTGTCGAGATGCTCCAACTCGTCGTCCCTGAACTCCCTAATGATGTCCGAGAGCAACGGCAGCGATGGATGCGCCTTTTCCTCCTGCTCGAGAATCGTTGCAAGCTCCTTGAGCTGGTCGTCGTAGTGCTCGCCAATCACGCTCTCGACGGCCTCGGTGCATGCCATGGCGCTCCGGGGTCCCAGCAGCGCGGTTGCACCACCCAGGACTCGCCCCGCGACGCTCCAGAGCGGAAGCAGCAGCGACGGTCGCACGTTGTGCTGGCGCAGCAGTGCGCGCATGACGTCCAGATGCTTCTTCTCCGTCTGCCACATTTCCACCGCCATATCGCGGTTCGTCTTGTCGCCCAGCGCCCCAAACATGTCCGCCTGGCCTTGGTAGATCGTGTTGGCCGCGATCTCGCCCGAGTGGTCGACGCGCAGCATGTCCTGCAGCGCGCGCCGCTGTGATGGCGTCAGCGATGCAAGCGAAGGCGTAGAGGTCGTGGCTGCATCGCCGTTCTGTATCCCCGTGTACGCGTCCGACGCCAGCGGACCCGTACCACTGGAGTGCATCCGAATCTGCACCACCTGCCTGGCTCCTGCCCGCGGGCGGTGCGACGAGTGCAGACTTCGCGTCTGCCTCGAAGTGGATCCGGCCTGTCGCATGAACGCATTCTTGACGAACCCGAGCTCATTGATCACCTCGAGCCCCGTGGATCGAGCCCACACCACACCGCGACCGACCACCTCCTTGGCAGCGCTCTTGACGAGCCCGTCAACGCTGCGCTGGCGTCTGCCGCCATCGGCCTGCTGCGCAAGCGGCACCGGCACACCGGCATACAGCCAGTGCAGATGGTCTACGGCCGAGAGCATCTTCTGATTCTCCCAGTACCGCTCCCTCGCATACGGCTTGAGCGCATTGTACGATCCCACATCCTGACCCGCCTGCATCGCCCTGCGCAGTGTGGCGGAGAGCGATCGGACATCGGCGATACCCAGGTTGAGCCCCTGTCCCGCCAGCGGGTGGATCGTATGCGCCGCATCACCCACCAGCACCGTGCGACCCCTCCCTGCGCCTTGACCGGCGCCCTGGGGTGCGAGTCCGACAGCGGCCATCGCGCCGGCGAGCACACCCGAGGGCAGGGGCGAGGCGCCATTGAGCGAGGCGCCGAGGTACGCATCGGCGTGCTTGAGGTTGAGCGGGAAGCTCGCGACGCTCTTGGCATCGAGCGAGGCGATCTTGGGCGGCACGTCGCCGGTGGAGCTTTCGGGGAGTGGCTCGCCAAGCGCGCGCTCGACCCACTGTGCTTCGTCCGGGATCTCGGCGGATAGCCAGCTCCAGTCTCTGCGGACGCCCTCGGGCAGCGCGTGGTTGGTGTACGCCACGACACGCTCGAACAGCCGCTCGATGTGCGCCCACGGCAGACGGAATGCGGCATCCACCAGCCGCGCCAGCGGCTCGTGTGACGACCCGGCCGTATCGCGGTGGAGCATGGTCAGTGCCGCAGCCACCTGCGGTTCCAGTGTCCACACCATGGAGGCGCTCGAGTCGGACAGCGGCAGAAATGCGATCGTTCCGCTAGGCAGGAACCTCTGATATGCAGTATAGCCCACGGGTGGCTCTCCAGCCTCGGCGGCGTGGCAGCGCAGTGTGCCTACGAGGCCCTTGCGGTTGTACGCCCAGCCGTAGTCGCCGATGCCGGCGTACCTGCGCACGGGCGAGTTGGGCCCGTCAGCACCCACCAACAGCCTGGCACGGACACCCTTACCGCTGGACAGCCCGACCACGGGCCACGGGTCCTTCTCACCCACCGCACTGCCCGCCTCGACCTTGGACCCAGGCAGAATACCGTCGACCTTGACGCCGTCCTGGACACTGACAGCATCCTTACCCGGCCCTTGCTCAAGGAAGCGCAGCATGGCCTGTTGAAGGTTGCTGATCTCCACCATTGCGCTGATCTGGGATGCGGCGCCGGGCTCGAGGTCGGCCGAGTCAAAGTCGAGCAGTGCGCCCGAGAGGCTGTCCCAGACACGCATGGCCGAGACGGGCCGCAAACGGTGCTCGACGAGGTACGGATATACGCCGATGCGGCGCAGCCACGCGAGATTGTCGGCGGTGAGCGAGATCACGCGGTTCTCCCAGTCGAGTGTGTTGGAGGAGGACGTGGACGGGTGCGAGGCGAGGTAGGCGGCGCGGTCGGCGGTCCAGCTGCGCAGGCGCGCGAGATCCGATGCCTCGACGATGGTGATGGGCGCAGCAGCGTGGGCAGCTGGTTTGCCGACCGCGCCCGAGGCAACGAGGTCGCAGGCAAGACCGAGGCCTACGACGCCAGCGCCGACGATGACAATATCCGAGTCGACCGTGTGAGAGGCGGCTGAGGCAAACGTGCGATTGGAGGTAGCTGATTGCTGGGTGAATGTGTCAGATACATGCAACACTGGGCGCGAGGAGGCGCTCGATGCTGCCGTGTGAGACGAGCGCAGGGAGCGCACAGCGGTGCGCTGGTGGAGCAGCGGCGTTGGAGCAGCTGGCCGTGTCGAGCTGGCCGCCAGTCTGGCCCTGCTCGCCCGGCTGGCTGCCGCAGCCAATGACGGCGAAGAGGTGGAAGCGATCCTCGACATTGTTGCGTCCTGATCTGATCAAACGGTGAATGACATGGACGATGAGGGCCACGATGGCGGAGAACAACACCGCGCCAAGGTCGGTCGGGGCGCTGCTCAACTAAGCCGGAACTTTTTGGGGGCAGTGGAGTGCAGCGAGGCTTTGCTTACCTCGTCTCACCAGCTGCCGATAATTTCGATCCGTCTCCTGATCTCACCCGATGGCGATACGGCAGCGCTCGTGCGAAAAAGACCCCGGCCTTGAAATCCGAAAGTCGGGCAGCATCGGCGGTCGGCTTTATGCAGCCGTCTGTAGGGTCCTTTTGCGTGTGCATGGAAACCGCGCTGTGGGCCGCCCTTTCCTGCCGCGCCTGCAGCAGCGTTGACCGACGGCTGTCACCCACAACGCTGGACGATTGCCGGACTGATACCCGGGCGATGGGCTGTCTGCCACGTCTAGGCTGCTTTCACGACGTTCAAAAGTGGATCAGCAAGCGGGAGGAGGGGTGAGCATGCCAGAAAGATGGATATGAAGGCGCACATCCCATAGCGTCGATTGAAGAAATGACCGGTCGGCCGGCAATGAAGCAGCAACAGAAGCAGCTGCTGGACGAGTGGCAGCCGGTCAAGAAGCCAGCCGTGTCAGAGAGAGCGATGCCGATGCCGAACGAAGTGACAAGCCATGGACTGCGGCTGATCTTGGTGCAGAGCCAGCCAACAGCTTGAGCCGGACCAACCAGAGCGAAAGCATTTGTGGGATGTGAGCGTGAGTTGGTCGATTCGAGCTGCGCTGAGCAGTGGCGTCTTGAGGCATCTTGACCGGTAACGCGCGTCCGAGGCGATGCTCACTTTGTCCTTTGATGGCGAGTTGCGCATCGAAAGCACGGAAACTGGCTGCCGCCGTCGTGCGAGAGGAAAGATGACTCGTCTCAAGCCCCCCCCCCC